CCGTCCATCCGTCCATCCATCCATCCATCCATCCATCCATCCATCCATCCATCCATCCATCCATCCATCCATCCATCTCTCTCTCTCTCCTCTGTAACTTTCAGGATCTCCGTCTGTGACGAGGACAAATTTGGCCACAACGAATTCATCGGCGAGACGAGGGTGGCGCTGAAGAAGCTGAAGCCAAACCAGAAGAAGAATTTTAACATTTGCCTGGAGAAAGTCATCCCGGTACATCCTGCTGTCTCTTCTCGTGGCTTCTGCAGTGGCCGAGGACACCTCCCATTACACACACACTCTCTCTCTTTGTGCGCACTCTGTAAAACAAGGAGGAAAGAAACTGGGAGGGGGGAAAAAACCGGGAGACCCCCTCTTTTCATAAATGGTTTACCATATTTGTCAATTTTTAAAGAAAACATCACTGGATGTCAAAAAGCAGTTACTTTTTTAGAAGGATCTTCTCGAGCTGTGGTGGGCAGCAGGCAGAAATGAGTGTGGGAGAAGGGGTTGAAATGGTAGGGAAGGAGGTCGCTGTTTCAGACTTCCAAGGGTTTGAAGGCCAACCTTTTTAAAAAAGAATCTTTTCTGCTCCCTATTTATCCGACACTCACCCTCCCCAGATGAAGCGCGCCGGGACGACTGGATCAACGCGAGGCATGGCCTTATATGAAGACGAGGTACGGCTCAGGCACCTGCTGGTAGAGAAATGAGGGGACGGATTTCCTTCCTTGGTGGCCCTTCATGGCCTGTACTCCAATCTGATGTCCCACAGACCTCCTTTCCTCGAAACGAGGAGCGGAAAGGCCAGGTCTGATTTTCATTTGGGGTGGTGGTGGAGAGCGCTCTGCCGATTTGCAAAGAGCTCGTAAAAGTTACTTTGGGGAGCAGGTCCATCTTCAAGAAATCTTCAGCCAGGGCTGAGTTTAATCTTCTTGGCAGCAGTCAATCAAACCTGGCCTGTCCATCATCGCTCTGAAGATGGAGGGATTAGCTTTTTTGGGTGAAAGCTGTGAAGCTGACGGGCGAATTAATTCCTGGCTAATGAATTCGGAGAAGCAAATAGAACAGAGAGAGAGGGACGTGAAGAGGAGAGAGGCTGGCTCAGGGCACTTTTTCGGAGCGAATCCATCCCTCTTCTTCGCTGGCTCTGTGCGAAGCATTTTAGCGCAAAGCGCCCCCAAGTGGACTCATGTCATGTTTTACTACATTTCTGAGCACCTCTCCGGGGACAGATCCGTGCTGATTCATGCTAGCGAGTGGGCTGGGAGCACATTTTAGCTGTATCCTAAATTCTGGACGAAAATAGAATGTCACGCCTTCTTGAAACGGGCGGCGAGAAGCGACGCGTCGCCCCCTTTGAAGGCTGGTCCTCTCGGAAAGCTTTTTTTTTGAAGGGGGTGTTTCTGCAAAATCAAGTGGGTGCAAAACGGTGGGTGCATTTCACGAGGCGACTGCCTGCATGCAGGCGGCTGGGTGGGGAAATGCGCGAGAAGGGCGCTGTAGTTGGGGGAGAGACAGGCAGGCCATAAGGAAATATGGACAGGTGAGGTAGGTGTCCATAAAGGCGCCCGTTAGGAAACCCATGGAAAAAAAGGGGGGAATGGGTTTCAGTGTGGGAAGAGACCAGAAAGTCTCCCCAAACCAGCCTATCAAGAGGTTCATGTGATTTTTTTATTTTATTTTTTTGGACATCGCAAAGGGACGCTCTCATTGCACAAAATTCGCCCAGAGTTAGAGGGTCGATGGGCTTTTGGGGCAAAAAACACAGGTTCTCTCTCCTGTCTCTCTCACAGGCGGACCAAGGGGGTGACGTGGAGGAGCGAGGGAAGATCCTGGTCTCCCTCATGTACAGCACCCAGAAAGGGGGCCTGGTTGTTGGCATCGTTCGCTGCGTCCACTTGGCGGCCATGGATGCCAACGGCTACTCCGACCCGTTTGTGAAAATGTAGGTAAACGTAGGTAAATGTTGGAACTGAAAACCGAGCACTACGAGGCAAGGCGGAAAGAACCGGGCCTGTTTAGCCACGAGAAAAGAAGGCTTGAGGTCTTCTTTTCTCAAGATAAATAAGATAGTACAGAGGAGGGACAGGATGATGTTTCTGATCATCCCAGAGTGCAGGGTAAATAGCCATGGGTTCAAGCCACAGGAAGCCAGATTTAGGCTGAATATCAAGAAAAACGTCTTAACTGTTGGAGCTGTAGAATGATGGAACCCATCAGCTCAGGAGGTCTTCAAGAGAATATTGAACCGCCCTCTGTCCGACCTTCTTGGATCTGGATGCCTGCCTTGAGCAGGAGGGTTGGACTGGATGGCCTTCGAGGCCCCTTTCCCACGCCATGATTCTAGGTAAATGTGTTTCTTCCAGGGAGTGGCAAAAATCTGATTCCCCCCCCCCCTATTTTGTACACCACCCACCACACCTCCCTGACGGTGTCACTCTCCTCTGATTATTGAAAGCGACGCCAGGATCTGCCTTAGCGTTACCCAGCTGTTCCTAGAGCGCCCTCGACATGTGTTGGATCAGAATTCCCATCGTCCACTAAGGGGTCTGGCTGAGGATGGCGGGATTTGCAATCGGCACAACATAGATGGGAGTACATCGGGTCGGGAAAGGCCCGGGTGGATTGTCACCCTTTCCATCTCGTGTGTTATGTGTATAAATAGATTTAATTTTTTCAATCAGGCAGTCCAGAAAGCGGGTCCTTCATCCAAGGTCTTGTGTTAGGTTCGCCGTTCCTAAGAAGTCCCAAGGCCGCCTGTCCCTTCTGCGCAGAGACCCCACTCCTTTTCTTCCTCTCTCGTTCTTAACCGCTTGTACCCCCCCTTTGTGCTTTCTTATTCTCAGCTGCTTGAAACCTGACATGGGGAAGAAAGCGAAGCACAAGACGCAAATTAAGAAGAAGACGTTGAACCCAGAATTTAACGAGGTGAGAGGAGGGGCCCTTAATTTTCATTTTGAGCCTCTGGGTGGAAATGTTGGCCAAGGAGAAATACATAAAAGACACGGGACTGCAGGAATGGGTTGAACGCACTCGTTCTTTTATCTTGGGCTCCAAAACCGCAGCCCAAGCTTTTCACACCTCCTGCAGTTTGCAGAATAGATGCCTTTGTTCTGTGATTGGCTGCCTGTGTGTCAACATGGGCTTCATTGGCAAACCCGATTTCTCAGGCACGGAGGTCTGCTGGAATGACGTCTCTGAAACACGAACTTGATTTCAGATAGACGATTGTGTGACCTGCAACGTATAGCTTGGCCATTCCACCTGTTCCTATCAGACACGCCTGTATAGCCTGCCCGGCGCTGTCTATGGTGCTGAAACCCTTTGTTTTGCTTAATAGGAATTTTTCTATGATGTCAAACACGGTGACCTAGCCAAGAAATCCCTGGATATATCGGTTTGGGATTATGACATCGGGAAGTCAAATGATTATATTGGTGAGTAGTTGCCTTGATGAGGATAGGAGATATTAGAGAATGGTGCGTTTCCCCTTGTGCCAAGCTGAACACAAGAGAAGACTCTAGACTCCTTCATAAAGGCAGAGAGAGTCAAGTCTGGTCAACGGTGGGATGATAGACAACCAGAGGCTACCAAAAACCCGGGGGAAATCTTCTTCCTGAAATATCGGAGAGCCATCTATTGCGTTCGGGTGGGCTGAGGCTGACGTGAGCGGATAGGCGAGCCGAGTCCGACTCGGTAAGACGCCTGCCGCTGACGTTCCCCACTGTACTCTAGATAAACGGGACCCTTCTCTCTTTTCTCTTCCAGGTGGGTGCCAGCTGGGCATCACGGCCAAGGGCGAACGCTTGAAACACTGGTACGAGTGCCTGAAAAACAAAGATAAGAAGATTGAGCGCTGGCACACCTTACAAAACGAGAACCATGTGTCCAGCGATTAGGGTGGGGGCCCTTCCTGGTCTGACAACACCTCTCCCCGTCCCGTAGATTTCCAAGCATCCTGTCTTCCAGTCCATTTTGTGTTCCTTTGACTCCTCGGGGACGGGGGTGGGGGGAGAGAATAAGTTTCCATCTCCCGGCTTCCCCCTTTCCCCGGAGCAGCTTTCTCCTCCTCTTTCCTGCCATTCCCACAACCACGATCTACCGGGTTGATTTTTCGGTTTGGTTAGCGTGGCACGTTTCCGTCGCCCTCTCCTGCCACGGGTGCATTGATGTCCAGATTTTTCTTCCTTTCTTCTTTTCCCAAGCAATATCCCAACACCGAAACTTTAAAAAGGAGTCCTCTGCTTTTTCGGCAGCCGGGCGTCACCCTCTTTGTCTTCTTTTTTCTCTGATGCCGTTGTGCTTTCTTCTTCTCTGGCCGAAGGATATTCTTTAAGTGGCCTTGAATTTTCCTGCTTGCCTTCCTCTGGTTTCCATCTCTGCATGTGGGAAAAAAACCCTCTGTTTTTCTGAGCCTCGTCCTCCCTTGGCACCTTTCTGCGTTTCCTTTTCTCTTGACTGCCGTGGAAAATACTTCTAGCATCACCAACGGGGAAATGCACGTCTCCGGTTTGTTGGCCCGGCTGCTTTGAGCATGGGGGCAGCCGGTTCAACCGAGAACTACAAACAGCTGGATTGCTTGAAGCCTTTCGAAACCAACATCCGGGCTTTCTTAAACAGAAGAAACAGTTTCTGTTGGGGGTTTTCTCCTTTCCGTGTCTCTGAATTTTGGGTTGTTCTCCCTCCCCGGCCATGCACTCTTTGCTCCCAAATCCTGCGCCGTCAACGTAATCCTTGAGAACGGCATGTTTCATTCCTGACGGGCGCCTTGTAGCAGTTCCCCGGAACGCCTCGTCCGGACACTTCCAAGAAGGGAAGGTTGACATCTTTCCCTGGTCGGCAACTAGACGGGCTGGAGGACCAAAATGGAAATACGTTGTGATTATCTTTTGCTCCGCCATGACTGGCCGACTGGCCGAGATCTGTTGATGACAGGCTTCCCTAGGGGTTATGTCCTTCTGGGGGGGGTGTTAGCAGGTTCTTTGAACGAGAAAAGACAACCGATGTACTTTAAAAAGTACTTTAAAAAGATGGAGGCGGCCTTCTCATATTGAAACCTGACAGAGGAAGCATGGAAAAAGCTTTTGACCTCCCTCCATCACCAGCCTTAAATGTTCAGTGGTATCATCTCTTCCTGCTCAGACCAAGGGGTGTACATTTTAACAAAACTCCGGCAGTATCATGAGACACCCCTCTCCAAGTCCCTCATCTTTAGCCACAATACATTTTCTGCTTCCCAGATCCGCAATCATCTATGTCATTGGCCCTGAGAATCATCTCGCCTTCTTTTCCTGAATTATTCATCGTAGCTTTGCATCCGGGTGGCCTAACGCTTTGCTCGGTAGCTTGGAAAAGTTACTGGAGAGGTGTGTGCAAATATTCCCCATACCATCAGAGACCACAACTAGATATTTCCAGGAGGATCTCAGAAGGGTGGTCTCTTGAAGGACGGGACCAGCTCGTGCTGACATTACCATTACTTCTTCCCAGGTATTAAGAGAGCAATTTTATCCAGTGCCTTGAACATGGAAGTGAAGGGAAAAGGCTTCACCCAGATTAGACTGTTTACTTCTCTCCTCTTGCATCGTTTCCTTTTTTCACACGAGTGGTGGATCTCCCGCTTCTCAGGCTGCCAAGATCCTTTCCAGGCTTGGGGAAGTCCTGCTGGTTTTGCGGATGCCAGGGGAGAATTCTTGACCCATTATATGCTCAGGAACACCTAGCCCACGTGGCCGAGCCAGCCTCTTCCTCTGCCTGGATTGTGGGGTCTCAGTGTGTACTTCTATTCACTTCTAGTATATGATTTCCTCCCTCTGCCAGGGTTAAAAGGATGCGAAGGGTCGTGGATCTCCCCAAGGAATTGGAGGAAATGGGCAAAGCCACAATGGGGTGACTAACAATGGCTACACGCACCGTCAGCACAGAGGATGCCAATACCTCGTCGCACATGCCGTCTCTTTATTGCCAAACTGAAAGAAATCTTTCCAAATTGTCCACCGAGGTGAGGTCAAATGAGGTTGTGTCCGCATCTAGGAAAGAAGCCCCCATAACTGCACCGGATATTATTCTCCTCTTTTGTCAGGTCTCCTTTCTCCTCTCTCCTACGAGCCCGGGGAAGGCTTCCATCTTTGAACGACAGGTGTGTTTTCTCAGGTTCCCCCCCACCCCCGTCGGTGCCGTTTTTGTAAGCCCGGAGTGAAAATCCTCGTCTCCAAAAGAAAAGGAAGAAGAAAACCCTGTCCTTCGCCCCTCCCAAGATGGTTTCCCCCCTTTCTTCTGCTGCTTCTCTTCCTCTTGGCAGTTTATGACCTTTTGAACGATACTCCCCTTTCTTTGTACATAACGCATGCACGTAGGGCTCAGGAACGGTGCCTCCCCCCTCCCCATAACCCCCCTCCCCAGTCTGACCCCATCCCTCCCTTTCAACAAGTGCATTCTGTTCAGCATGCAATGACGTTCACCACGAAAAACAATCCAATCATTTCCTTCTAACTATTTATCCGGCAACTGGGCTACCGAGAAACAGAAATGCGTCCCTCCCCCTGGTTTTCCACTGCATGCAGGTGTGACCCTCCCTCCCCGGCCTCTTCATGCCATACCTAATAAAGTGACAAAAAAGGGGGAAACCTCACTGTGCCATGTGCTTTCTTAAAAAAAAAAAGATATTTATTTATTTACTGCACCACCCCGCCGCCTTTCAGCAAGTGACCGGCCTCAAAGAGGCTCATTCGAAGAGGCCGGAGCAAAAACCATGAGCGAGAAGTATTGGTAAATGATTCAGCGCAAGAATGTTTTTTTTTTAAAAAAAAAGCTTCAAATCAGATGAAAAAGTATAAAAGCATTTTTAAAAGCACAGTACGAACGATGTGCACGCAGCCAGAATAAAGGAAGGGCTAAGGTTAAAATTAGATGTTAAATATGGAAAGTGTGTTGGAGCAAAAAAAAAAAGTGTTTTTTTTTTAAAGAAAGGGATATGGCTGCCTGGAGAAGCTCAGACGGGTACCTTTGGCCCTTGGGCCTAAGGTTTCACATCCTTTTCTAGCTTCTCAACTGGGCTGCTTGTAAGAAAGAGTGATCCCTTTATTGTGCTGGGAGAAAGGAAGATTTTAGACGTCATCCCAAGAAAAATTAACATTTCAGTTTCAGCCAGGTGAGAATCTTGAGGCCAGATAAAGCTTATTTTTTTCCTCCAAGCCCGGCTTCGTGGAATGGCTCCCCAGGTCTGGCCAGGAGGATGTTAGCAGTACTCGGAGCAATGAGGTTCTTCCGGTCGAAACAGGAAGATGAGAGGATAAGGAGGGGTGGTGGAAGAAAGAAGCCAAATTAATCCAGCAGCCTTTTCTACAGCTGAGGTTCTGGGAAATGTAGTTTATTATTTTTTTAAAAAATAACATTTTTGTATACAGGCGTATTCTTTCTGTCCATCCTGCCTTAGGAAGAGTTACTCAGAAGAGAAATTCTTTTCCAGAGCTTGAAACGCTTCCTTGCTTTTTCAGAGATGGGGAATGTTACTTTCTGGACTACAGCGCCCATCATCCCCTGGTCTCCCCTATGAGCTCTGCTGTTTTTTGCACAGCTGCATGAGGAACCTGGAGGGGTGGGGAGAACCAGAGACCCAGCTGTAATTCTCTGAACATTCCAGCAGATGACGGCAGAACTCCAAAAATCTCTGTTGGCAAAAACCCTTCCCAGGGACGTGTCTATTTATATTTATATTCAGAAGGACCAGATCCTGCAAATGTTTCTGCTGTCAATGGGCATCAGCCTAGGAGCAGGAACAGCAAGACGCATTCAAGTGCTGCTGAATGGGACGGATGCTTACGATGTGGCGGGGGAGCGGGTTCGTGCGCTAGCAGAAAAGGTTTCCTTCCCATGCAGCAGGAAAGATCAAGGTTTAACTCTGAATCTGGTCTCCCCTGGGTTCATCTTCAGCCTATAAAGGATCATAAGAGAATGCTACCAAGAGAGGTGTCTCTGAGCACATGCAAAGTGTCTTTTGTTCCCTGAGCAGGGCTCCCAGTGCACTCGCTCAAGGGTGGAACTGGGGGTGCCGGGTTCCAGATCAGACCCCTGTGCCGCCGTTGCTCCTGCTTTGTTAGTTAACAGATGCCCACCGGGAGCCCTCTAAGTCACATCGTGTGGCTCTTGCATTTCCCTGGATTGCCCACCAGAGGGCACCACCCCCACTTCTCAGAAAACAAGATGGTGGCTCTCCAGTCTATCTGCTTGGCCTCCCTCACCAGGTCGTCGTAAGGATGCGGAGAGCTGTCTGGGTCACCTGGATCTGAATGCAGGATACAAATAGCAAATAAATAAACAAATACATATAGCATGGGCAAGCTGCCTGTCTCCAGACCAAGAAGAACCCTAACTCCATTGAGAGTCCTTCCCCCCCGATGTTTTAACAGCCAGCGGAGAGCTTTCATGAATTTTTTAAATCCCCGGAGAATAAATAGTAGGATTGTATTTTTCCCCCTAACGTAAATAAAAATAAAAATAATTTATGGAAAGTGCTGCATGTGGTGTAAAGAGGAAAATAAGTTATTACCCTCAGAGTGCATAGCTTCCAGCTGCTCTCGTAAATCCTGGGTTCCAATTTACTCTGTACAGGGTGTATCTGCCGGGGCGGTGGACGAGAAGCCGAGGCGCCCGTGTAATCGAGAGAGCGGGAGCGCCAGGGGGAGAGAGAAAGAGAGAGAGAGAGAGAGGGAGGGAAAGTCTTCTAATTAACGCTGCCTTGAATATGAACCACGCATCATGCTGATTTTATTGGAATTCCATTCAGGAGCGAAGGCTCTTGCGGCCGGCCTGCCCGCCGGCGTTTTAGCCTTCTACACTCCTTTGGTTTATAGAAGGAAGATAAAGTGGCTTGAAGCCGGGCGGTATTTACAGGACGTGAGTCATATTTATGGTTGTGAGAAGAGCCTTGGGTGCTGAGTAGCCGTGTTGAGGTAGAGAGCAGGTTGGAAGCTCGTCTCTCCCTCTGCTTGCTCAGGGGAAGTCTTGTGTTGCTTGAATGCCAAACCTTCCAGTGATAAGCGATGGATTCAGGGTCTATATGAGGGGTGTAAGGAAAGCCAGCAGGAATGGTGGAGTCCCGGCGGGATTCTCCGTCTTAGTCCAGGCTCATAACTCCCTTCGGGTTTTAGGCCGAACTTTACATTGGTTATCCTAGGTGCTCAATCTCATCTCTCTCCGAATAGAGTTCAGCACCTTGGGAAGCTCCCGTAAAGTTCAAGATGAAATCAGGAGCGGACAAAATTGGAGCGCCGGCTTCCACCGGCGTGGTTTGGCTTCATTGGCTCAAAGATAACTCTTATTCCTTTGTCCTCCCACCCACCCAAACACTGCTCTCCCTCCAGGCAGGTAGACAGGATCCTTTCGCCTCTTCTCAGCCTGTTCCTGCCGGGTAGCTCAGTGACTTAGGGGCTGGGAGTTCGAATCCCCGCTCCGCCTCCTTGACAGAGATTAGACTTGATGATCCAGAGGGTCCCTTCCAGCTCTGCAGCTCACATCATCATCATCATCGTCGTCATTGTCGTCATCATCGTCATCATCGTCATAGTTGTTGTTGTTGTTATTGTTATTATATCCTTGCACCCAAAGACAAAATGAATGAGGTTTTCGTTTATTTATTGTGTATTTAATCCCTTTATCCATACGCTGGCTGTCATTCAAAACGGCATCTCCAGGGGCCTGGATGCCTCTGGGCCAAACTGGGAGCATCTTCAGATCTCAGCCATCAGAAGGGGGTGGGAAAGCTACCCCCCTCACCTCCCTTAGACTGCCCTTTCAAAACCAAAAACATGTGTTGAAACCATTTCAACTAGTGTCTCTCGTCATCATGCCGGCAGGCGGCCGAATTACGGTGGGAAGCTGCAAGGGGTGGAAAAATTCTCCCACTCGTCTGAGGAATGAAAGAGATGGTCCTGGAACCCTCCCTCTGCATCTGGTCCATCAGGAAGGCCATGGAGCAAGCTGGATGCTGTTGCTTAGCAACAGCCAATCGCCTTCTCCCCTTGGTTCCAGATGGAATCAGGAAGAACCTGCGGCCTCCCCAAGTCTTCTCTAGCTGTATCCAAAATCTACCATGTGATGATGGGGAGTTTGCCTTTGTTTTTTTCCCCCTCCCGTACAGCCTCAAAGAAAATGAGTTGCTTTCCTCTAAACCCCCCCCCCGCCTCCTTCTTTCTGTCTCTTTGCTAAATAATTCAGCCCCAGAGCCTTTCAGATGTCAGGGCCAGTGAGGACACTAGCAATTCAGTTGTTAAGTTTTCAAAGCCAAATGGATTAAAAGAAAACCTGACAAGAAGACAACCCCCCCCCCAAAAAAATAACAGAGATAGGAAAAAATATATAGGAAGGTAAACCATGTTTTATTCATTTTATCTTTCAAAGAAGGGTACAGTTAGGGTTGGTTTTCATTTGGACAGCGGCTGTTGCTTTTAGGGTGAGATCCCAAGAATTCACAGTTCCTGATCGGGCCCTTGTTTTCCCTCCCGACACGCCAATCAGTCAAAGCTCCATGGTTGTCAAATCAGACGTGCAGATGAGGTCTGTGTTTATCGCCCGAACTAGCTTGCTTTTGCATTCATCCCACGAAAGCGAGCCGTTTCGGACAAGCTCCTGTTAGGATCAGCTGGTCTTTTTTAATCTCTGTTTTTAAATGCTTCGACGCAGACACGTAGAAGACTGTGTTGTTAACCAGGTAGCTGGGAAATCAAAGAATAAACCTTCTTCTAATGGAATAAAAATGCTCCCTTCGGTTTGGATATTTGCTCCCTGCATCAGGGCCTTTTCACGGGGGCCCTTGTGTGTTACACAACCTTGTGTTATTTCCTGCTGTTGACGCGAGGGTTTTCAGGGTGACCTCCCGCTCAGAGATCTCCTCCTTCTGTTGCTTCTGATTCTGCTGAGGTGGTAAGCTTTCTGGAATCTCATTTTCCAAAGCACTGTTCGAGCCGAATAATTAAATGGGAGCGCCTTTCAGATTGATACTGTACGAGAGGCGACGGATCTTGGTTCACCCTGTCCTGTCCTTATTAAGGATGTAAGCCCATGGCTTTAGTCATTAAAGGTTGTTTTAAGTCCGGCTGAACCACTGATCGCCTCTCTGGCTGAGAAGACGGTGGCGGAGGTGGCGGCTGCTTTTGAACCCGTTCCACTCCCAGTGGAGAGCATCCTATTTGCTGCAGAAGAGGGAAGGTGTGGGATTTGGGGGTGCCAGTATCAGACAGGGGTGACCCAATGTCACATCTGCCTTTAAAAGGTTATGCAAAACAAGACAAGAAGGTCAATTTCTCCCTGGGAATCTCCCAAGAGTGGGTGAATCCAGTCAATCGTTCCTTCCAGCGCCGTCAATTTCTCCCTGGGAATCTCCCAAGAGGGGGCGAATCCAGCCTTTTCATTTCAAAGAGAGCCCTGCCTCTCTGCTGAGTGGTCTTTTCCCTCCCTCCCCTCTGCGAGCGGCAGTTGTTTGTTTGCTGCTGATCTGTTCAATTGGTTGCTAAGTACGTGTGCAGTGAAAAAAAGCAGCATACAGGGCTTAATATTTGAGCAAAGTAAAAAAAAAACACCATGGAAATTCTGCCTCCCACTAGTGGCCAATTCTGATATTGCACCT